CCCCCCCCAACACCTGTGTTATTGAGGATCTCTCTGGTTTGGAACTCCCTGTGGCCTGGGTTGCTGATGGGAACCTATCCAGGATGTTTGGCCCAAGGGCCTCTGAATTTTCTTGGTGAGAACCCCAATACCGGATGTCCCCCCAGCCCACCTTGTGGTGGTGGCCCCTGCATCAGAGCCTCAGATGCTCACACTGTCCAGGTGAAGGTGGGTGCCTGACTTTCCCAGCGCACTAGACCCAGAGCCTGGGATTTCTCTCAGGGTCTAAAACCTCTTCCCCAACCAGGGTCTTGCTTCTTGGATTTCTAGAGTCTACTCTTCTGGAGGTCCCACAGAGACTCTCCTGAGGTCCTGTCTTGGTCCTCTCAGCTCCTCCTCCAGACTTCTTGCTGTCAAGTTGGAGTCAGAGGAGCATGAACCCATGCCCCACTCAAGATCTCTGCCCCCAAATCCAACCACCTGCACTGTACTCAGCCGTCTTGGTGGAGACTGCAACATCTATATGCACTGTCTCTTTGGGGATTCCAGCCCTGGTTGAGGCCCCCCCTCTCCTGTGGATCTGTGTGTGGTGTGACATCTGTCTCCACCTTGCAGATGGACTTCCTGCCTCCTCTCCCCTGTTCTGGAAGTTCATGTGTATGTGTCCCTCTCTCTCTACCTCTCTCCAGAGGACCACTGCCGGGTGAAGCCTGGGCCCAGGCGGGCTGAAGGGGATGGCCGGGGTGGGGCTGGGGGTGAGGCCTCAGACCCTGAGTCTGCGGCCTCCTCGCTCAGCGGAGCATCTGAAGAAGGCAGTGCCGTGGAGAGGAAGAGGCAGAAGCAGAAGGGAAGTGCTGGCCGGAGGCGCTTCGGGAAGCCCAAGGCCCGGGAGAGGCAGCGGGGTGAGCAAGGAGCAGGGATGGGGGAAGGGGCCTGCTGTGATGCCCCAGGAGGCCCTCCCTTCTCCCCTAGCCTGGTTGTCCCAGCCTGCCCGTGGGGTCCTGCTCTGCGGTCCCTCCTCACCGGCTTTGCCTCCTGGGGTCACCCTGCCCTGAGCCTCAGGCTCCTCATCAGTAACATGGGGAGGGGAGAAGGCTCCTCCTTTTCCCCTGGTGCCACTGTCTCACCATGGCTCCCAGCTGCTCCTCATCCTGATTCCCATTTTGTTCTGCAGTTCTTCCTGTATTGGGCTCCCCATCTGCCCTTGCCCCATCTGCCTCCTGTGTCCGCCTCTGTCCCTCTCATGTCTGTCTCTGTGCCCCGGCCCGGCCCTGCAGTAAAGGATGCAGACGGTGTCCTTTGCCGATACAAGAAGATCCTGGGCACCTTCCAGAAGCTGAAGAGCATGTCTCGGGCCTTCGAGCACCACCGAGTAGATCGCAACACGGTGGCGCTGACCACACCCATCGCAGAGCTTCTCATCGTAGCCCCCGAGAAGCTGGCTGAGGTGGGCGAGTTCGACCCCTCCAAGGAGCGCCTGCTCGAGTACTCGCGCCGCTGCTTCCTGGCCCTGGACGACGAAACCCTTAAGAAGGTGCAGGCCCTCAAGAAGAGCAAGCTGCTGCTTCCCATCACCTACCGCTTCAAGCGGTGATTCTGCCCCACCTGGCCCGGGACACGCCCTTCGGCCCCCACGTCCCTCCCTCCTCTGCCCCTCGTGGCAGTGGCAAGCGTGTGCATGAGTGGTGTGCTCCTCCAGAGGGCCTGGGGGGTGGGCGGCGTGTTTCTGCGTTCGCCTCCCCTCGTCCTGCAGATCCCCACTCCTGCCCCGGGTCCCTTGTGTATAGATCTGACTCCCTCCTTGCCTCTCACGTTCCTAGCATCCTCCCCTTCCTCTGCATCCCCTGGGGAGGAGTTCCAGTTAGCCAGTATCCCAAGAGCTACTGCCCAGGGGGTCGGTGTCTGCGCTTTCCTGAACGTGGGCACTCCTCCCCCGTGAGCTGCACCGTCCTGCCCTCACCGGGCCCTTCCTCGTGGAGGAGGGGGTGGGAGGACTGCGAGACTCTCTGCGGGGCCGGGCCCTGTACATACCCCGTGTCAACCCTCAGCCCCGAGGAGAGGCTGGCCCACTCTGCCAGGAGCTCCCCATCCGCATCCCGGACTGCCCCGAGTCTACGTGAGAAAGAATTATTCAGAGAATTTAAATTAAAGAGAGAAGATACAATTTGGAATAAAGGAGGCCCGGTCTCTTCTTGGAGGGGGTGGCCGTTGCCTCGGAGACCGTGACGGGGGCTCCGGGGAGCTCCGAGGAGCGGGCGGTCAGGCAGGAACCCGGAGGCTGGGGAGACAGGGTGTAATTAGCACCCCCGGAGGGAGGGCCGGGAGGAGCAAAAGCAGCTGTGCCCCAGGGAACTTGGAGGGGCAGAGCTCGGGAAGGGAGGCGTCAACACCACCCGCGGGCCTATCTCGACTAGAGGCGCCGGGGCAGGAGAAGTGGACTCAATGACCGCTGGCAGGAGCGACCGCAGAAGGGGGAAACTGCACATCCGGGCGGAGGCTCCTGCGCCCGCCCGCCAGGAGGCGGTAGCGCTAGATTACTGCTTTCCGGAAGTGCCCCCTACGTTGCCTGCTGCGCCTGCGCTGCGGAAGGGGGCAAGTGCGCTGACGCGGTTGCCACAGCAACCAGGAGCGAGCGGCTTTGCTTAACGGTCTGGAGTTCGGTACCCTTCTCGGAGGAAGGGAAAGCCTCGCGCACGCGTGCTAGGGGCTCTGGAACCCACTTGCCTCCCGGAACAGTGAGAAACCTCGCCTCAGACTGATCTCTACGCAGGCGCAGAAGGCCATCTCGCTCCCCTCCTCTTCCACCTGCGCAGGCGCACAAAGCCGCGCTGGCAACCTCCGCAGCGGCCGCGCGCACCCTTCACCTCGCTGGCAGCTTTTGTCTCGCGCAACCTTCTGAGGCCCTCCGCGAGATCGGTCCTTCTTTTCCTCCACTCTCCCCACCCGGAGAGCCAGGTGCAGAGAGCCGGGACTCCGCCCTTTTTCTGTATCCCTTCTCCTGACCAACCTCGCTTCTGTCCTCCCTCCCTTTTCTCTTCCCGAAGCCGGAAGGAGCCGAAGCGCCGCCGGAAAAAACCGAAGCTGTCTCCCGGGAGTGAGGCCTTCCCGAAGTGGTGGCGGAAGGAGCCGAAGTTCTCCGGCCGGGGAGGAGCGAGTGAGTGCAGTGAACGGAAAGAGCCGAACCTTGGCATCGGATTTAATCCTCTGGCTGGGTCCGAGAGCGAGTGCTGGAAATCTACAGAAAGTGCAGAAGTTCCGCACGGTTAGGATTGATTGTTGGAAGTAGCTCGATAGGGTCAGCGGAGAAGAGCGGGGGAAATCTGCTGGAGCAGCCAAAGACTGGGACGGTTTGAATTGTCGGAAGAAGCCGAACCCTTGGGGTGGGGGGGCTGGGCGCAGAGGAACGCGCGGACCTACGGAAACACCCGAACGTTGAGGAGCTAGTTTCCGAAAAGTTACGATAGCCTGGGAAGCCGGTGAAATCCTCGCTTCGGGTGTTTCCGGAATCAGCCGAAGCAGCCGCTCCCGATTTCTTCTACGGTCCGGAAATAGCCGACGCTATTTGGAGCCAGGCTCGGGCAGGGGGGAGGGACACCTCGTGGGCGGGCGGGCGGGCGGG